TTTTCCAAACGTTGGAATCCCTCGTCCCTTTGAACGAAGTCATTTTGAGTTTTTAGACGTGCAAAAACTACCGCGAAGACGGTTAATTTATTGGTTTTAAACTTCTCAGCCGTACTAGGTTTGTAGTTCGCGTTGCTTAAAGTTGAATTTTGGCGGGCTACGGCGACGTACTCTCCCCAAGCCTCGTCAAACACGATAGCCGTAGCAGCGCCAGCCGTAGTGATTTGCTTAAACTCCCTATTATCTCGCCTCCTGAAACTGCAAACCAATGAGAAGACGAGACCTCCTGGCGTGAACGACATATGGGTCAAGATTTTCCCGTGAAGAGTATCGCGTAGCAGTCACGTTTTTTATCTCGCTCTGTTGATCGTTTAAGCCTGATTCACATATGATCCTAGACGATCGCAGGCGATTACACTCGATCGCCAGCGATCGTCTGCGATTATATGTGAACAGCTCTGCAATCGTGTGCGATCGAGTGCGATCGCGATCGCAGGCGATCTCAGAAATAGAACCATGTTCTATTCGTGCGATCGGTTGCGATAGTCTGCGATCGAGTGCAATCATATGTGAATGAAGTTCTGCGATCATGCGATTGGAATGTGTCTAATAATGCTATGCAAGCGGCATGATACCATGACAACCAGTTGTTTATCAACTTTTACACGTGCGTGTGTTTTGACAAGATGGAAGGTGAAATTGACACTGAACAGTTTATGGAAGAAATTAGAAAGCACGATTGTTTGTTCAATCGCTTTAGCAAATAATTCTCTCTTCCTTATGACTTTCTACCCCAAGAAGCGACGTTTCTTCTTTGACTGGTAGCGATTCTCTGCTTAAGTAAAGACAACAGAAGCGGAATGTTAACACCTGTTGAAAGTTCAGCGTCCTTTGCGTTTATGTTGATTGACTGGAGTTACATTGTATTGCCGCTGAATGCATCGCCAGAAATCGAGGACAGTTTGCTCCCGCACTCATTGGTCAGCGGATTGAGGACGGATGAAAAGAAAGATAATGGTTAGGACAAGTTCCATATTAAATATTGAGCGATTTAAGTTCTGTGGACCTTTTTGATGGAAAAAAAATAGCAAAAAAAAAAAAAAACAACTTTGAACATATCTCTTGGTAATTTTAAGGCAGAGCGACTTATAGCAATTTGCTGTCAGATATAATGCAAGGGACAATCTGTACTAAGCTTCAATGGCCATTCAAACTGGCTTTATTTGTAATCGTCTACGGATGTCAGACATTTTTGAAATTGTAGCTTAAACCACCTGTATTAAATAATGGGAAGATCTAGGCAATCTTACTTGAAAAGGGCTTTTTCTACCAGTTGAAAACACAGTTCAACGAACGCACTATACAGATCTCTTTGATCTGCTTCCTAATTTTCGTGCGAGAAAATAAATTTATTAAGGCTCCACCATGTTCTAGCCGTGCAATCGGGTGCGATCGTATGCGATCGAGTGCAATCATTTGTGAACAAAGTTCTGCGATCATGCGATCGGAATGTGTCCAATAATGCTATGTTTTCCCAGCTCGCGTGAATCACTGCAAGCGGCATGTTACCGTGACAACCAGTTGTTTATCAACTTTTACACGTGCGCGTGTTTCGACAAGATGGAAGGTGAAATTGACACGTAACAGTTTATGGAAGAAATTAGAAAATACGATTGTTTGTTCCATCGCTTTAGCAAAAATTCTCTTTCTTAAGACTTTCCGCACCAAGAAGTGACGTTTCTTCTTTAATCTAGCAACGATCTTCCGTTTAAGTAAAGAAGCAGAATGTTAGCACCTACTAAAAGTTCAGCGTCCTCTGCGTCCACGCGCTTTGGTTGACTTGAGCACAGGCAGCCCAAGCTCACTACTAGGAAAGCGGATGTGACTCTTACAGTGTTGCGCAACGTTATATGTTTCTAAAGGTTTGTATGGGATGTTACCGGTTGCCTTAAAAGAGATAAAAAATGTCTTGTTTTGAAATAAAATGGACTTAACTTTTTACCTTGTTGTTTTCTTTGTTGATTAGCAGCATCTCAGGCCATTTTGAAGCGTTTTCGGCGAGTTAGCTCTGTGTTGGTGTTCCACTGCATATTTCTCTCTATCCCCTCTCTTGTTAAATTGTTTTGTTTGGCTTTTTATTTTCGTTATTTATGTCTTTGTTGTAAACAAAAAAATTTACCACTATAAAGTGTGTCACACCATTTAATGAACTGATGTTTTAGGTTTGAATGGAATATGTGGCTTCGAAATGATCTCTCAGCCGAATAAAACAGTAGTTTCCTTCATTGGATCCAATCAAACATTTTCCTGGAATTTTAAACTAACTGAGGAGGAGAAATCAAAGAAAGTGGAAGTTGTCTTTGCCAGTTGGAATAAAAAATATGACTACATAACTGGTGACCACTGGGTAACATATGTTCGAGAATCAAACGGGAGCGAATCAGTAGTCAAAGATAAAGAGGCATTAATCGCAAGGCGTTTAAAATGGGTGGGAGACTTGGCACGTGGCTTCGTGGCTTACCAACTTCTGAACGTTCAACAACAAGATACTTCAGATTATGGGATTAGGTTCCGAGTTTCCGGTTCTTCTAGATCTGTGGAAGATGGGTTTACTCTTTCTGCTCAGGTAGGAAATAATAGGTTTTCCAAGCAAAGCAGGTAACTTTTGAGGAGAGTATTTTACAGCTCGACATTTTAGAAATAGTCGTTTACGCATTGATTAGATTAGGACTGTAGAGAAAATAACTAAGAAAATATAAACAACTCCCGTGAGTTTGTTGTGTTACAAACACAGTTGGCTTTCTTTCCCGGCTCTCGAAGCGAACAAATAGTTCTTATTTCTTGATAAAGCGAAATCCTTTCGCAATACAATAAATCCTTTATTAACTATGTTTGTTCGGTCAAGGTGGCTACATATAGGCCTCATTCTTTTTTTAGCATTTTTATGGACCTCGACTTTGTTTCTTCGCCTGACTCATATTTACCACTCGTGAGCGGGCGGTATAAATTCTGCGATCTGATTGGTTCCGAGAGCGGGCAGTATTCTCCCATCCCTCTTTCTTGAGTACTGCCCTCTGCCTACGGCCTCGGGCGGTATACAAAACCTCGGGTACAGTTTTTCCCAACACGGACCTCCCAGTTGGTGAATAACATATATATTCAGCACCAGCCAAGCAACGAACCATGATTTAAAGTCTTACAATAAAACCTAAGAACAACTATTTTTCACTCACAGGTTCCAACTCCACCACCAACGAAGTCACCAGGTAGGATCTCCTTCCCCTTTTCCTTATTTTACGTGAATACTCCAATGTTCAATGCTTATAAAGTGTGTTATTGTCTTCCAGAAATAAAAGGATTAATGAACAGGCTTTCCTCAAAAAGTAAAACTACATATACTAAAATCATGGTTGCCAATATCTGTGATCCATTTAGTTGGTTAACGAGCAGATTAAGGTGGCGACCTTTTTCGTGAGAAGTTAGCCCTAGCGTAAGTTTAAAGGCAGTTAGAGTTGTTCCTAGCGACAAAAAATGGTGCAACCAGGTCTGATGCAAATGCTTGAGATCATAAATCTTCTTTATCGTTTAGAACCTGAAAATATAACCCTCGAGATCTAGGAAGGGGAACCACTTAATATCACCTGCCGCGCCAGAATGGGGCCGGAAAATTCGTCTGTCATGTGGCTGAAAGACAACCGACCCATGAAAAAAGGACGGAACAGTTTTCTTGTCATTCAATCGATAAATCGATCACAAGCAGGAAACTATGTGTGTGTGTCGCTATCCTAAAACGGAAATCACAGCTTGCTCTTCACTGCTGTTGATGTTCTATGTGAGTATTTTCAGGTGTGCTCAGCTCAACATTTGTTGAATAGAGGGCCACGCTCACCCAGTGTGCTTTGCGCGAAATTGTCCTCGTTATTATCCGCCAGCTCGATACTTTTTCTCACCAACCAGGAATTATTTGATAGGAAACATTCGCATCGGACTATAGAAGAACAAATAAAGCCTATAATAAATAAAGCCTACGATGTCTTTAACCTTACGTGAATTTCGTTTTTCTCTTTTAGATAAACCGAGAATACTCAAACGTAGGAAACAAGTGACTTTGGAGTTAACAGGAGGAAATTCAACCACGCTTGAGTGTACTGCCGATCCTTTCCCAATCTTCACTTGGCACACAAATTCAACCACGCTTGAGTGTACTGCCGATCCTTTCCCGATCTTCACTTGGCACACAAAAGGTGGAGATATTAAGCAAGGCTTTTCAACTACTTCAAACTCAAGTTACTTGGCAGTTACTCCAATAAATGACAGTGACGTGAAAAACTACATGTACAAATGCGTAGCAACCAATAGGTTAGGATTTGACTCGGTGACGTTCACTTTGATAGAAAAGGGTAAGTACAGTGACCATCTGATCACAAATTATTTCAGTCGTTGACATTGCAATCCAGGTCCAGGTTATTGGTCTACCTAACCTTGTTTAAATGCACTAAAGTAATTAGCCTGATCATGATCGTATAATATTTTTACTAATCCATGCACTCACGAGTCGTGAATTTCCTTCAGGTATCACCAAAGTTACGGGATCACATGATAAACCCGAACCAGTCTCATCCAAAGATGTCAGTGCAGGTTAGTTCATGAGGAGAAGAGTTCATGGATATTGCTTTAAGTGTTTGAGTCCTTTTTAAAAAGTTACTTCTTCCTCAAATTCTATATGCCGCATGCTCTATTTGACGTTATTTAGCGTTACATGACATTGTTTTACGTTTCGAGCATTCCCCCTTCGTCAAAGTGAGTTTCGCTCTGACGAAGGGTTAGAGCTAGAAACGTTAGCTTTTAAAATCTTTACGGTTTCTTTTGTTTAGAACTAAGTCGTGGATGTGCACCTTGGCTGATTTATACTAATTTGATTAAACATTCGATGACCTTTCGTTTCAAATTTAGAGAATGGAGAGAAGCAAGTCGAACCAGTCATCGATATTGAACATCGATATAATATTTTAATATTCTAGGTTTTCTTGGGTCTTCTTAGGGTCTCCTGAGTCGTTTTAGGATCTTTAGTCTCATGTCCTCAATACTGATTAGATTATCCTACTAATCACTAATTTAAGAAGAACTCTACTCTTGCAAACAGGTGGGAAAGAGACACTCACCATGTACCTGTCTATAACAGCGGGCGTCGCGGTGATCACGATTTTTGCTTTCCTCATTTGGCGATATGCTGCCAAGAAATCCAGAATACAGAAAAATCAACGAACATGTTAGTAAATATCTATTCAAAACTGACCTAATAAATGTTTTTGACATACGTTGTTTTATATTCATATACGCTGTTTGCTATAGATGCTGTGAGTAACGTTGATTAATATCGTTGTTTCAGGTGAAGAAGCCAGTGAGATCCACACATATGCATTCGTTAACTCTTGAACGAACTATTACTCCCTGCTAAACAGGAGGCAATTGTACACAATTGCAGCTTTTCCACAAAATGAACATTTATCATAGAATAATGATTGGACACATAGACTAAAAGCGAACCAACCTAATTAAGCCGAATGTTGTTTTTTCGTGATTATGTCTAATCCCAGATATTTTTCCCGTTATCTCTGCCGCTATCCGAAGCATTATCACTGCGTATAACCTAAGCTGAGATGTTTTTTGTCCTCAGACAGTCCTTGGGATTGCAAGTCATACGCAACGAGCCTGTTTTATATGGAGCTTGCAACTTACCCTCCACCGGTGACCCTGAATGGGAAATACCACGAGCAAGGCTGAATGTAGAGAAGGTTATTGGGCATGGTGCATTTGGCGTGGTGTCACGAGGCTTGGCGTTAGATCTGCCGGGAAAACCAGGATGGACTGTGATAGCAGTGAAGAGTGTTCAAGGTTACATTTCTTATTTTTTTTTCTTTTACTAAACGAAAAAAAAAAAGAAGAAAAAAGAAGAAAAAAAAAAAAAAAAACCAAAGCAAAACAAAAAACAAGAAATACTTGACGTTTGAAACCATCGAGCTTCGATACGAACAATGTCGATTTCGGGAACTTTAGGTGAAATGATCAATGCGGTGTTGGAAAGAAGTTAGATATTGTAAGTTTGATCGTTTCAGTTTTAAAATGAATTTATTTCCGTTGGTGTTCTTATAAAAGGATGCTTCTGGAAAAGAAAAGAAAGACCTGTTGTCTGAGATGTCATTCCTTAAACACCTTGATCCTCACCCTCACGTCATTCGCCTGTACGGCTGTGTTACTACTGAAGGTGAGCTTGAGGCAGTTGCATAATTGCTGTCAAATGTAGTCTTGAATTATGAACCCGTTTGCTGTCAACGACACATTTGAAAGTGATGCTAGAGTGTAAGAGTCTTTCTTGTTAAAATCCCTTCCTTTTATCGATCCGTGTCGCTGTTGACGTCGCTCTTAATGTTAGAAACGCATTGTTTGATTATTGCGTGGTTGTAGCATGTATATGCGTCAGTTAGAGTTTGTAAGTAAGAGTGCTAAGTGCCAAGGTTATGCAGCGGTTTATGTTCAAAGATCTTGAACTATTGTGTGTTTTAAAATAACATACTACATAGGCTTTGTTTTCAAATGTCCCTAGATTGGGGGACTTTTTAAGTTTCGTTTAATAAATCGTGAACTGCACGATTAATTCTGACAGGAGCTTTTTCGTGGGCTCTTGAGTCAGGTCAAAGTTCCCCACATATTTAGGCTTACTACACGACTCTTATCTAAGACTTCTTAAGGAAATGTAGTTGGTCATGAGCATGACCAGGTTACCTTAGTTTATAATGAATAAATTGAGACAAAGCTGATAACCAGTAACCAAACGAAGTTTCTTGTATTCAGCCCGGCGTCTCGTAGTTGTCGAGTATGCGCAGTATGGTGACTTGCTTGAGTACCTCAGGAAGAGCCGAGGAGTTCGAGATAACTACTACAGTAATCCCTCGTTCAAACCTCGCACCGACCTTACCTCCAAGCAGCTACTACGATTCGCATGGCAGATCAGTGATGGAATGGACTACTTATCGAAGAAAAAGGTTACGATTTCACCTTCTGTTGTACTTCTATACGATAGCTAAAGAGTATTGGGATAACAAAGTCATAAAGTTAGTCTGCAACTTACTTGCTGCTACTTTGCTCGCAAGATGTGTAGGAGAAGTTCGTGTCATCTGAGATTTCATCGTTCTCTCGAATCTCGTTTACTGGGGTATTGACGCCCTCTAAAAATACGTTAGTTCTTTTCAACTGTTGATTTTATCAAGTTTCTGGACAAAAGGATAGATCTGATATGAATATCATTGATCGTGACTTGGCCGCGAGAAATGTATTGGTTGGTGACGAAGACGATTGCAAAATCACGGATTTTGGAATGGCCAGAGATGTCTGGGAAGAGGACATATATGTTCGAACCCATGAGGTAATTGTTTACGACATATTTTGAGGTAACTTCTATTTGAGCAGTGTGATTTAAGAGCACTTTTCAACCCTGTCCCTCTCTTCTCCACAAAGTACAGTCGTAAAAGAAAGTAACATGAAATTAACTTACTGATATCTTTTGTGAAAAACACGCAATCGCATAGTCTGCATGTTTGCGGTAGGGGAGAATATAACATGACATAAAATATAACTCTATTTAAAATATGGAAATGAAATAATGATATGTTGTTTAAAACTCCTTCATAATCATTTTTGTTTCCATCTTTGGTTTTAGGGCCGTCTTCCGATTAAATGGACGGCACCCGAGGCTCTATTTGGAAGTGGTGCATACACGACACAGAGTGATGTGTCAGTTTGTTTTGTACATAAACATACGCGCAAATATCACCAGAATAGAACTATTGTGAGATTTCTTTAATAGTCTATAATATTCAGCGTTTGAACACAGGACGATGGCCTGGATAAGGGAGTATGATAAATAAATACGTCAATTGAAGTTACCCCTTTGGGGCTTCTCAGCTACAATGGCAGGAGGCAGACTAGGGAGCTATTTACAGAGTACAGCCGAGGAGTTGAACTAGGGGCAACCGAGAACAAATCCAGTGAGGACTTGAACCCGGGACACCGGATTACAAGTCTAGTGCCCTAACCACTCGGCCACGCCACCTCCTAAGTATCGGTTAATGTGTAAAATAATAAAAGAAAAAACCTTTCTTTTCATAAAGGTGCTACGTCGGCGGAGGAGTATAACAAAAAAATGGTTTTATCAACTGAGTTGATAATGTAAATTGGCCACCGTAAAGAATTTGTGAGCTGACGTTTCAAGCGTTAGCCCTTCGTCAGGGTGAATGAGTTGCATTGGGGCTGACTTTCGAGATGTCAGCTAACAACAAGCAAGATTCGTTGAAAAAAATTTTTAAAACCCGTGTTTTTCAGTTTTTGATCCCTACTTAAGGGAATCTACTTTTCTAAACAAGAACCTTTCAACTTCTAAGATCGTCCTTGTAATTCTTCCCCCTTGCTGCAATACATTTGGTTTTAAATATGTCCAGACAGTGAGAGTTGCCTAAGATAACATTTGTTTTTAGAAATAATGAGACTACCGTAACTTTTAGCGGCATAACGTTTTAAAAGTGTTACAAGAAGTTAGAAATCATCTAAGTATCTCATGTTGTCAATGACGGTCGGACGTGCAAATGCTGCTCTGCCAAATATCCTTTTGACTTGTTTGTGGTTCTTATGGTTCTTGTTCTTATCGCTCCGAAACCATACGGTGAAACCATATGACTATACAGATTGTAGTGTTTCTTTTGGTTTTCTACGAGAAAACCAGCAAAGAAATGGCCATGTGTTCTTCAGTCCGTCGTGTTGTGTCCGCCATTTTGGGAACCTTGCTGTCGTGACAAGAACAACGAAGAAAAGGGCCTTTGCTAAAAGTAGGATACCCTACTACAGCAATCACTCCGCGATGTTCAATATTGAAATTCTTTGCTCCCATGATCCGAGCCGTGTAAGTCATCGGAATCATGACGGTAACGTGGCTTATAAAAATCGACATCGCAAACCTGATATATCCGTCTTCTATGCTAATTCAAGAAGCTTAGTTAACAAGACGGCCCTGTTAGAGTTGGAAATTGCTACTTATCGTTATGACATTATGGTCCTCACGGAAACCCATTTAGACAGAACAATAATAGACAGCGAATTGTTTCCTTTAAATTACACGGTGTTCAGAAGAGACCGTCCTCACAACGGCCGTAAAGGTGGTGGTGTTTTAATAGCTACGCGGGATACAGTAAAAATTTTCAAAAGAGAAGATCTTCTATGTGATTCCGAATTACTTTTTGAAGACATTCTTGTTTCAGAAAAGAGGAAAGTTAACTTGGGGATCCTTTATAGGCCACCCAAAAGCGACATTAATACTCTTCTAGATCTGTAAACAGCCCTAGACAGTGTTCTTTCGACACCTAACTCCGACCTACTACTCTTGGGAGACTTAAATTTGCCTGAAATAAACTGGGAAACTATCTGTGCCTCAAGGAGCTCAGACCACACCACGCTGTTATGCAAAATTATTTACGACAACTTCCTTACCCAACTAGTCAAGGACTCAGCTCAAGAGGAAAGCATCTTAGACTTAGTTCTTGTTTCTTTACCTGACTTACTACACGACCCAACCGTTGGTCAACCTTTCTCCGATCACAACTCGATAAATTGTTTTCTATCGAGATCCCCTCACGGGTATCGTAGGTCCGAGAAATTGGTCTATTCCTTCAGAAAGGCAGATTGGGAATATCTTCGTAATCTCTTGAATTACGACCCTTGGCACTGTGCTTTTCTTGAAGACAACATCGACCTTCTTTGGTCTGCATGGTCGGATCTACTACTATCGGCTGTTGACGAATGTATTCCAAAACACCAAGTTATAAGATCCACAAATGTACCATGGATTGACAACAACCTTATCAAACTTTGCCGAAAAAAAAAACTACTCTACAAGAGGGCTAAAAAATCGTCTATGGAGTCTCACTGGGTCAATTATCGTAAGTTTAATAATCAGCTAAAAAAGAAATGTAACTCTGCGCGATGGCAGTATATAAACAATTTGACTGAGGAGCTAAAATCGAACACTAGCCCGAAGCCTTTTTGGAATTACGTAAAATCCAAGAGAAAAGGATCAAGCGATCTAGTATCCTTGAAAGTAAACGATAAGTTTCTAAATGACGATATTAGTATACGTTNTTCCCAGATTTCTTTGTGTTTGCCAATAAGCGTACAAGAGCTAACCACGGCTATAAACTTTACCTGAAAAGAGCGGTTTGTAATTGTTACAAATATTGTTTCTTCATTCGCATTGTGGGGATATGGAATAGCTTGGCAGGATACATTGTCCACGCCGAGTTTTAAGAGTAGACTTAAAATTTATTTAAATATTTATTGAATATTTATTGAATCTGTAGCCTTTAAATTTTATCTTTTGTATGTTTTTAGTAAGGGAAATTGCTTTTATACAGGGCTAACCTCACGATTTTCCGTCTTCAGGATGTATTTTTTTACATTTGCGTTCTAGCTTCCTGAATAAATGTTATGTTATGTTATGTTAAGAATTAGCAAACAAAAAGACTTAGTATGAGTTTTTCACAAGATGGCTAAACTTCGTTTAGCATATGAACGTTCTAAGAGGCAGTGGGACTGCGATGCTGGTCCCAGGTTCAAGCCCTCCATCCTGCTACTCACAGGATTTCGTCTCGATTACCCAAGTTCAATTCGTTGATTGTGTTTTTTTAAGGACTAACTGGCCTGCCTCTTGCCAGATTGGGTTCTTCAACACTATGTGTATGTTTATTTAGAATATTTATCTTCAATTTGTTTGAATTTAAGGACCACAAGTCTGTCAGTCAGTAAGTGACGGCATGTTTAGTGGCACCTTCAGTAAACAAGTCTTAAATTATCATCCCAAACGAGCAAGAGATTTGGAACAGTCTTGACTTTTTATCATTATGTAAATTTTAGGTGAAGCTTTCGTGCGGTCATGTACGAGATCTTCACTGTCGGTGATTTCAAATGAGATTTTTGGAAATTGAGCTTAAACAAATGCTCTTAAAAATGAATAGATGCTAACAACGCGATGGTTTTAAAAAATTCTCTTTCAACGCACTCGTTAAAATGCCGCTAAAAGGTTAATAGCAACCAGAAAAGTCCAATAAAAGAGATAAGTAACGGTAAAGAATGAAACAAGCAACCGTGATATATATATATTTAGCTGTAACTATAGTTTTATATTCTCTAATTTTAGTTTTACTTCCTTTAAACATTAGTATTGATGCTGAAAAACCCATTCAGGGAGCTTTAATAAATCTGTATCTAAGTATCTTTAAATGAGAATGAACATTCTGCTGAACTGAATAGATTCCTTCGAGTTGGTGACAGCAAGCAAATGCATCTATTCAGATTTATATCGAGGAATTCAGAAATGCGCTAAGGGAACATACGCATTAACCCACACGACCTTACCCTCTGAGGAATGCAGAAATGCACTTGAGGGAACATACCCATGTGACCTCACCCTCTGGAAAAGACAAGCAGTAGTAAAGGAACGCATAAATTAGAAGTCGAAATGTAACTCCATCAGAAGACAGATGACTAAAAATTTAAACTTGGAATTAAGCTTAACTTTTGCAGCATGGAATTAAGACAACTATCAATGTATTTGCGAGACGAGGAGTGATCTAACAGACCTGTTTGCGATTTAGCTTTGTCGGCTGACGGTTATTTTTTCCCATTTTGACAGCTGACGGTTAAATTCTAGGGTCTTTGACGATTTCGGTTAAATTTTAGGGCTGACGGTAACCAGGATGATATTCATTCGATGAGTTTAAGATTATACTAAGTTTTTTCATAATTTGATATCAATCATTGACCATTTTGAGGTCTATTCAGTCTTCCTTGACTTAGTGGAGTGAGACTCATGATTAGTTTCAAACGCAAAAATACATTACTTCACAGTTCCCATTGTTACATAAATACATACACTTTATTGAGCATCCCTGAAAAGGGCTTTCCAGCATCAATATTAAAAATAGTAAAACTAAATAAATAATTTAATAACTATATACTTTCAAATTACTTATATATTACTTAATTACTGTAGGCAAACAACATGCACGTACAATTATCATGAAAGATCGTTCATGTTACAAATCAGTTCATTAATTAAACGTCTCTTAAAGACCTTAGTACTCGTGATTTCCCTTAAATATTTACTTACATTATTCCATACTTTTACGCCCCGATAATAAAAGGCGCGTTGGCCAACATTGATTTTACTAGATGGAATATTTAAACTATCTCTATATCTCGTCTGTCTATCATGAATAGTAGCTCTAGTTGAAAATTTATTTGACAGATAACTAGGTGACCGTCCTTTGAGACATTTGTGCATCATAACTGCATCATTGACCATAAGTCTTTGTATGAAATTTAGCCATCGACGCGATCTTAAACCTGCAGAGACATGGTCATATTTGCGGAGTCCCAAGATAATCCTAGCTGCGAAGTTTTGAATAAGTTGAAGCTTAAAAATATTAGTCGCAGAGGTATTGCTCCACACTGAGAAGCAGTAAAACAGCCTACCAAATACAAAACTATTAATAATCAACAACAGCGTTTCCCTGTCAAGTAAATGCTTAATTCATAATAACATCTATCAAAGACTGGCTGCTCTCTGTAATTCTGGTTGGTGAGTTAATTAACTGAGTTAAATTAAACGTTGTACAGAAATCCGAAAAGGCTCTAGATTCATAGTCATTGCTGAGCAAGTTGCATTTCAGATCACCGATAACAAAGATATCCAGACCACGTAAAATTGAGTTGATGAAAACACATGTAAGATCATCAGGGAACTTCACGGGAACTCTAGGTAGTCGATAGACAGTATTTGCTAAAAACGATTTACAAGATCGCGTTTGTACTTTAAGCCATAATTGCTGAAGGCCATCGCTAGCCACTGAAGAAAGGTTTTCGATGTACTCTACTTTCAAAGTGTCTCTCGTATAAACACAGAGTCCGCCGTCGTTTTTCTGTGAACCACGATCTTCCCTGAACATTGATTATCCTGGTATATAAACAGAGGCGTCAGTTACCGAAGAATCTAGCCACGTTTCTAATATAGTGAAAATATAAAATCCAATCGATTGAATAGAATCTTTTACCAGAATGAAATTTTCTCTGGACCTCAAGGAGCGCACATTAAGATGGGAAATTTTGATGTTTGCATGAGTATTCTTCGGAAAGACGCCCAATTCAGAAGCCACAGACTTTGCTGTCGAGGAGCCACGAAGCGCAGTCGCGCTTGGTCCAGGCTGTGGATGTACATCACCACCCAAAACTATTCTAATAACAGAAAGATTAAAAGAAGAAGTCTCCGGCGTTACAAGAGTAAAGGAGACGTTTTCCCAAAAAACGAATGCGAACCAGTCGATGAAGTACACATGG